ACATTTCATAGCTAAGAAAGATCTGAGAATTAATCAAGAATTCTAATATTTTAGCTAGACAAGGAAGTTTTGAAATAGGGCGATTTTAGTTATTTAGGTTACAAGGGTCACCACCTTTGTGAAAGGGGAGTACATGAGCCGCCTTCCAAACCTTGGGGATAGTACCAGACAGTGGAGGCTGCTGACGGGAGGACGACTCATAATAATGGCTGGAACTAAGCGAATGGAATGGCATCAAACACATGGAAACGATGTGTTTGATGTTGTTGATACCTTTCCTCCTGTGGTACCAGGAATAGTCATCAGGTTAAAAATATGGGTTAATGATTCTGCAATCGGGGGGCAGAGAGCTGCAGCAAAAAATGGATCAAGCAAATACATATATTTTAAACAAGGCATCTAGCACATCACAGGTAGTAAATTGTTTAAATACATGTTTTAAAAACAACACTTAGTTGACAGGTTAAGCGCCAAGTCAGGTAGAGGTTGGGAGAGGGAAGAGCAGTCGATAAAATGCTTGAGTCAGACAGAACTTGCTCCAAAATTTAGAAGGATCACCAGCAGTAATAGAGAGGGCTTAAAATTGTGCTTGAATGGGCCTCCCGAGTGGCGCAGCGGTCTAAGACCCGTGTTCGGGTCACTACAGACCCGTGTTCGATCCCAGGCTGTGTCGCAGCCGGGCGCGACCTGCCGTTGTCTTGGCTGTGTGTTAGGGTCATTGTCCTGAGCGCTCTGGAGCAGGTTTTCATCAAGGATATCTCTGTACTTCGACTCCGTTCATCTTTCCCTCGATCCTGACTAGTCTCCCAGTACCTGCCACTGAAAAATATCCCCACAGCATGATGCTTCACCGTAGGGATGGTGCCAGGTTTTCTCCAGACGTGACGCTTGGCATTCAGGCCAAAGAGTTCCATCTTGGTTTCATCAGACCAGAGAATCTTGAGAGTCCTTTAGGTGCCTTTTGGCAAACTCCAAGCCGGCTGTTATGTGCCTTTTACTGAGGAGTGGCTTCCGTCTGGCCACTCTACTATAAAGGCCTGATTGGTGGAGTGCTGCAGAGATTGTGGCCCTTCGGAAGGTTCTCCCATCTCCACAGAAGAACTCTGGAGCTCTGTCAGAGTGACCATCGGGTTCTTGGTCACCTCCCTGACCAAGGCCCTTCTCCCATGATTACTCATTTTGGCCGGGTGGCCAGCTCTAGGAAGAGTCTTGGTGGTTCCAAACTTCTTCCATGTAAGAATGATGGAGGCCACTGTGTTCTTGGGGACCTTCAATGCTGCAGAAATGTGTTGGTACCCTTCCCCAGATCTGTGCCTCGACACAATCCTGTCTCGGAGCTCTACGGACAATTCCTTTGACCTCATGGCTTGGTTTTTGCTCTGACTTGCACTGTCAACTGTGGGACCTTGTATAGACATTTCCAATCAATTGAGTTAACCACAGGTGGACTCCAAGTTGTAGAAACATCTCAAGGATGAACAATGGAAACAGGATGCACCTGAGCTCAATTTCGAGTCTCATAGCAGTCTCTGAATACTTACACTACCGTTCAAAAGTTTTGGGTCACTTAGAAATGTCCTTGTTTTCGAAAGAAAAGCAATTTTTTTTGTCCCTTTTTAAAATAAAAAATAGATTAGAAATACAGTGTAGACACTGTTAATGTTGTAAATGGCTATTGTAGCTGGAAACGGCTGATTTAAAAAAAAAATGGAATATCTACATAGGCGTACATAGGCCCATTATGAGCAACCATCATCAGTCCTGTGTTCAAATGGCACGTTGTGTTTGCTAATCCAAGTTTATCATTTTAAAAGGCTAATTGATCATTAGACAACCCTTTTGCAATTATTTTAGCACAGCTGAAAACTGTTGTGCTGATTTAAAGAAGCAATAAAACTGGCCTTCTTGAGACTAGTTGAGTATCTGGAACATCAGCAATTGTGTGTTCGATTACAGGCTCACAATGGCCAGAAACAAATAACTTTCTTCTGAAACTCGTCAGTCTATTCTTGTTCTGAGAAATGAAGGCTATTCCATGCGAGAAATTGCCAAGAAACTGAAGATCTCGTACAACGCTGTGTACTACTCCCTTCACAGAACAGCGCAAACTGGCTCTAACCAGAATAGAAAGAGGAGTGGGAGGCTCCGGTGCACAACTGAGCAAGAGGACAAATACATTAGTGTCTAGTTTGAGAAACAGACGCCTCACAGGTCCTCAACTGGCAGCTTCATTAAATAGTACCCACAAAACACCAGTCTCAACATCAACAGTGAAGAGGCGACTCCGGGATGCTGACCTTCTAGGCAGAGTTGCAAAGAAAAAGCCATATCTCAGACTGGCCAATAAAAAGAAAAGATTAAGATGGGCAAAAGAACACAGACACTGGACAGAGGAAGATTGGAAAAAAGTGTTATGGACAGACAAATCGAAGTTTGAGGTGTTTGGATCACAAAGAAGAACATTTGTGAGACACAGACCAAATGAAAAGATGCTGGAGGAGTGCTTGATGCCATCTGTCAAGCATGGTGGAGGCAATGTGATGTCTGGGGGTGCTTTGGTGGTGGTAAAGTGGGAGATTTGTACAGGGTAAAAGGGACGGCGCTTGATTGGAGACAATTGTGGACGGCGCTTTATTGGAGCCAATTTCCTCCTATAACAGGACAATGACCCAAAGCACAGCTCCAAACTATGCAATAACAATTTAGGGAAGAAGCAGTCAGCTGGTATTCTGTCTATAATGGAGTGGCCAGCACAGTCACCGGATCTCAACCCTATTGAACTGTTGTGGGAGCAGCTTGACCGTATGGTATGTAAAAAGTGCCCATCAAGCCAATCCAACTTGTGGGAGGTGCTTCAGGAAGCATGGGGTGAAATCTCTTCAGATTACCTCAACAAATTGACAACTAGAATGCCAAAGGTCTGCAAGGCTGTAATTGCTGCAAATGGAGGATTCTTTGACAAAAGCAAAGTTTGAAGGGGACAATTATTTCAATAAAAAAATCATTATTTCTGATCTTGTCAATGACTACATTTCCTATTCATTTTGCTATATTTCCTATTCAAACTCATTTTCATGTACAGTGGGGGGAAAAAAGTATTTAGTCAGCCACCAATTGTGCAAGTTCTCCCACTTAAAAAGATGAGAGAGGCCTGTAATTTTCATCATAGGTACACGTCAACTATGACAGACAAATGGAGAAAAAAATTCCAGAAAATCACATTGTAGGATTTTTTATGAATTTATTTGCAAATTATGGTGGAAAATAAGTATTTGGTCACCTACAAACAAGCAAGATTTCTGGCTCTCACAGACCTGTAACTTCTTCTTTAAGAGGCTCCTCTGTCCTCCACTCGTTACCTGTATTAATGGCACCTGTTTGAACTTGTTATCAGTATAAAAGACACCTGTCCACAACCTCAAACAGTCACACTCCAAACTCCACTATGGCCAAGACCAAAGAGCTGTCAAAGGACACCAGAAACAAAATTGTAGACCTGCACCAGGCTGGGAAGACTGAATCTGCAATAGGTAAGCAGCTTGGTTTGAAGAAATCAACTGTGGGAGCAATTATTAGGAAATGGAAGACACACAAGACCACTGATAATCTCCCTCGATCTGGGGCTCCACGCAAGATCTCACCCCATGGGGTCAAAATGATCACAAGAACGGTGAGCAAAAATCCCAGAACCACACGGGGTGACCTAGTGAATGACCTGCAGAGAGCTGGGACCAAAGTAACAAAGCCTACCATCAGTAACACACTACGCCGGCAGGGACTCAAATCCTGCAGTGCCAGACGTGTCACCCTGCTTAAGCCAGTACATGTCCAGGCCCGTCTGAAGTTTGCTAGAGTGCATTTGGATGATCCAGAAGAGGATTGGGAGAATGTCAGATGAAACCAAAATATAACTTTTTGGTAAAAACTCAACTCGTCGTGTTTGGAGGACAAAGAATGCTGAGTTGCATCCAAAGAACACCATACCTACTGTGAAGCATGGGGGTGGAAACATCATGCTTTGGGGCTTTCTGCAAAGGGACAAGGACGACTGATCCGTGTAAAGGAAAGAATGAATGGGACCATGTATCGTGAGATTTTGAGTGAAAACCTCCTTCCATCAGCAAGGGCATTGAAGATGAAACGTGGCTGGGTCTTTCAGCATGACAATGATCCCAAACACACCGCCCGGGCAACGAAGGAGTGGCTTCGTAAGAAGCATTTCAAGGTCCTGGAGTGGCCTAGCCAGTCTCCAGATCTCAACCCCATAGGAAATCTTTGGAGGGAGTTGAAAGTCCGTGTTGCCCAGCGACAGCCCCAAAACATCACTGCTCTAGAGGAGATCTGCATGGAGGAATGGGCCATAATACCAGCAACAGTGTGTGAAAACCTTGTGAAGACTTACAGAAAACGTTTGACCTGTGTCATTGCCAACAAAGGGTATATAACAAAGTATTGAGAAACTTTTGTTATTGACCAAATACTTATTTTCCACCATCATTTGCAAATAAATTCATTAAAAATCCTACAATGTGATTTTCTGGATTTTTTTTCTCATTTTGTCTGTCATAGTTGACGTGTACCTATGATGAAAATTACAGGCCTCTCATCTTTTTAAGTGGGAGAACTTGCACAATTGGTGGCTGACTAAATACTTTTTTTTCCCACTGTATGTTTTCATGGAAAACAAGGACATTTCTAAGTGACCCCAAACCTTTGAATGGTAGTGTATGTAAATAAGGTATTTCGTAACAAAGTGGAAAAAGGGAAGGCGTCTGAATACTTTACGAATGCACAGTATTCTCTTTTCTCTTGACAGGAACCAAGGCTCTGAGACCCATAGACTGAAGTGCTGTGAGTTTGCTGGCTGGGACTCAGAGGAGCAGTTCACCCTAGGGACTGTGACAGACCCACCGGGACAGAAAAAGGGGGTTGTACAGCTTCCTGCTCTAACACAGATCCTCTATCGGGGTATTCAGGGCCTATCCGGCAAGCGCTCCCCTATGGTGGGTCCCACTCTCTACCCGCGGTCCGGGTCTGCTTGGCCTACTGCACTGCTCAATGGTGATGGGAAGGAGATGAGTGAGATAGATGGAGATGTGGTTGGAGAAAATGGTGAGGCTCATCAGGACACTGTTCACAAGTCTGCCATACGGACAGAGGAGCGAGACGTGGAGATCGCACCAGGGGAGAAGGTATCTGTGAAAGTGGGCTGCCGAGCCAAGTAAGTCATGCTTAGCTAGCTGCTACAACATAAGTCTGATATAGTCATCTTTTTCTGGTGGTATCACTATTATCTGACTGAATCCATTTCTTCTGAAGATTCAGGTTTTTAAAACAATGATTTATGTATCCCTCCATCCTACCCTAGGAACTTGGGGCGTTGTGCAGAGCTGCTGCTCCTGCACTTCCCCTCTTTCACCATCGGGAGGCGTCTGGAGGTCACAGTAGGCAGTAAAGAGGAGAGTATTCTCCAGCCCTATGCTCCCTACTGCCCGGCAGCCCCACTGCCCCTTCCTCAGGCTACCCAGGTGGTCACTGTGATGGCTGCACATCCACCTAAACGGTAAACTACACCCTGATAGTGTCTCGGTTCTGTATTGTGAAGTATGTTCGGCCTACCTGCTAACCACATTTCCCTATAGAATAATGAAGATCACCTTGACTTGTTGGTGACGCTGTCCACCAACGTTCTCTCTATAATCAGAAACGTTTTTCGCCTAACCTAGTTACTCTACCCATGTCAGACATGTTGAATGATGACAGTTTGTTCCACATTGTTGAATTACACCTCTCCTGTGTAGCTAGATAGTCACTAGCCTATGACTTTCTATTCTTGTTTTTTATTTCACAGGCTAACTAAGCGCCACCTGCCTAACTTCCTGAGTAACTACCCAGTGCCCCAGGCTCTACGGGACTGTATGGAGGCCGACAGTGATGTTTTGGTGGCCCAGCCATGTCTAGGAGAGGTAAGGGAACCACAAGTTAACTCAGAATCAAGTCTTCTATCATCAATGGAATGCTTTGTTTCCTCCAGCCTATAGGAATTGGGCTCCAATTGATTTAGATGGGAAAGTCTTATAAAGAGGCTCTGGATTTTGATATGGGGGCCTTTGCGCTTCCACTGTAAAATAATGGATTAGCTTCTCTCTCTCCCTCGCTGTCTGCCAGACTCTGTCGGCGGCCAACATGCATCTCCGTTTCTCGTCCCTGCTGTGGCTGGAGGAGCTACAGGCTGAGAGGGAGCTCAGGGAGTTCAGCATCTGTGGAGCCCTCCTCAGGAGAGGTGCTATCTATCTGCACCTAGAGGTGCTGGGCCTGGCTGAGGGCAGGCCCAGTCTCTTCATAGGTAGGTGTTGACTCTTAATTATGGCTTGGCTGCTACACATATGACATACCCTATTGTAACATGAGACATGTAATAATAATAATAAGATGTTTGATTGTCACACACACAAGATAGGTGCAGTGAAATGTGGTGTTTTACAGAGTCAACCATACTTGAATTGAGATGTTAGATATAGTGTTTTGTCTTCTCTACAGGTGACAGAGTGGCACTGAAGAAGCCAATCAGTGGAGGCGTGGTGATGGAGTACATCGGTTATGTCACAGAGGTACTCAGAGGTTTCGATCTTCTTAGAGTTTTGCTTGTAGCTCTGATGTTTCTCCTTGTGCTTTGTTCACATTGACCTGAACACTGTTTGTGGACCATATCCACAGATCAGTGACGAGGACGTGAGTCTGAGGGTGAACACTGAGTTTCAGCATGGCTACCTGGGAGAGCCTCTAGATGTTGAGTTCACCTTCAACAGGTACCTGTCTTGTCCTGGTTCTGGGAAGGATCCTTTCTGTGTCACTACCAAAGTGTTGATCTCTGTTCCTTCAGCTCAGATAAAGTGTGACAGTTTGACAGTATATGGATTATGCATGATGATGTTTGTGTTGACAGTATATGGATTATGCATGAGGATGTTTGTGTTGACAGGTTGACAGTATATGGATTATGCATGAGGCTGTTTTTGTTGACAGTATATGGATTATGCATGAGGATGTTTGTGTTGGCAGGTTGACAGTATATGGATTATGCATGAGGATGTTTGTGTTGACAGGTTGACCATGAGGAGATGCCATTTAGCACTGGACCAGAGCAAGCACTTTCAAGAGAATGGTGATCTTGGCTTTTTTTATCTCAATCCCACTTCCAATATATTTTGTATTTAGTCAACTATTTCTTCTTCTCTTCTCTCTCCCTATCCCCAACCCCTGATACGTTTATTTCCTGTCTGGTCTGGTCCACCCCTGATTGTGCGTCCTCTCCTCTCTTCCCAGTGTTCTTCCCCAAAGCCGTGATGCTTCAGGCCCCTCTATGGACGGGAGAGTGGGGTCCAGAGGTGGTGAAAGAGGGGACCCCCACAACCGATGGGGTGAAGCTGTCAAGCGTCTCCGTTGACATGGTCTCAAAGTCCACACAAACCAAACCAGGTGATATAAGCATTGGGACTCCTTCATTCCGACAGCACAGAGATTCTCTATATACTACAGCTGCTGAAGTGTCATAAACCTAAATGGCATTAGAACTCATGTCCTAACTACGACAGTTCAGTACATTTGTGAGACAGAATGAATGATGAAGGATGGAGGGGAATGAGTATTAAGCCTCTTTCATTCTCTCAGATTCCAGGCTGCCATCTAAACCCATCCCTAACCCAGGCCAGTTATTCAATCAGCAGCTGAACCCGTGTCAGAGGGAGGCAGTGAAGCGTATCCTGGCAGGGGAGTGTCGGCCCACTCCGTACATCCTGTTTGGACCGCCAGGGACAGGAAAGACGATCACCCTCATAGAGTCCATATTACAGGTAGACACCCCTCAACCTGGGAGGTAGCCTAGCGGTTAAGAGCGTTGGGCCAGTAACCAAAAGGTCGCTGGTATGAATCCCCGAGCCGACTAAGTGAAAAATCTGTCGATGTGCCCTTGAGGAAGGCACTTAACCCTAATTGCTCCTATAAGTCACTCTGGATAAGAGCGGCTGAATGTCAATGTAAACCCAATGGATATCAAATTGTATTTGTCACATGCTTTATAAACAACAGGTGTAGACTAACATTGAAATGCTTACTTACGGCCCCTTCCCAACAATGCAGAGAAAAATTAACAACCAGTTTTGATGAGCAGGGTTTGCACTTTTAGTATGTTCCATTAATTCCATTGCATCTGGCAAGCTCGATCAAGGTTCTTGCATTTGGTTATTTACAACAGTCTCCCTAATTTTAGTTCCCTGAATAAATAATAGTGGCCTCCTCCCATAGGTGTATCACCGCTTGCCCAGTAGTCGTGTGCTGGTGTGCACTCCCTCCAACAGTGCTGCAGACCTCGTCTGTATCCGGCTCCATGAAAGTGGGTACCTGAACGCTTCCAGCCTGGCCCGCGTCAATGCCTCCTGTCGACAGGAAGAGGTACTGCACCCATTGCCGCCTCAGGAATTTCATCAGTCCTATTTTTTTCTACCAGTTAGTGCCTCTGTCTGTATCGCATTGCCCTCTGTATCTCCATAGGCCATCCCAGAGGTTCTAAGGCAGTACTCTCAGGCTGGGGAGGACATCCGACACGCCTCCTTTCACAGGATTGTGGTCAGCACCTGTTCCAGCGCTGGCATGTTCTACCAGATTGGACTGCGGTGAGGGAGGGAGGGTAATAGGGCTCAATGTGAACCTCCCTCACCAGAGCTCTAAGATCATTGTCTCTTTGCTTTGTTTCTGCAGGGTGGGTCATTTCACCCATGTGTTTCTGGATGAGGCTGGCCAAGCCACGGAGCCAGAGGCACTGGTACCCCTGGGGCTTCTGTCAGAGCGAGACGGACAGGTTAGATTGAACACCGAGTGCATCTACAACCACAATACAACCCTGCTAAATGACTTAAACGTTAAATGTTACTTCAGAAAAAAAAACATTGCACATACAGTGAGGGGAAAAAAGTATTTGATCCCCTACTGATTTTGTACGTTTGCCCACTGACAAAGAAATGATCAGTCTATAATTTTAATGGTAGGTTTATTTGAACAGTGAGAGACAGAATAACAACAAAAAAATCCAGAAAAACGCATGTCAAAAATGTTATAAATTGATTTACATTTTAATGAGGGAAATAAGTGTTTGACCCCCTCTCAATCAGAAGGATTTCTGGCTCCCAGGTGTCTTTTATACAGGTAACGAGCTGAGATTAGGAGCACACTCTTAAAGGGAGTGCTCCTAATCTCAGTTTGTTACCTGTATAAAAGACACCTGTCCACAGAAGCAATCAATCAATCAATCAGATTCCAAACTCTCCACCATGGCCAAGACCAAAGAGCTCTCCAAGGATGTCAGGGACAAGATTGTAGACCTACACAAGGCTGGAATGGGCTACAAGACCATCGCCAAGAAGCTTGGTGAGAAGGTGACAACAGTTGGTGCGATTATTCGCAAATGGAAGAAACACAAAAGAACTGTCAATCTCCCTCGGCCTGGGGCTCCATGCAAGATCTCACCTCGTGGAGTTGCAATGATCATGAGAACGGTGAGGAATCAGCCCAGAACTACACGGGAGGATCTTGTCAATGATCTCAAGGCAGCTGGGACCATAGTCACCAAGAAAATAATTGGTAACACACTACGCTGTGAAGGACTGAAATCCTGCAGCGCCTGCAAGGTCCCCCTGCTCAAGAAAGCACATATACAGGGCCGTCTGAAGTTTGCCAATGAACATCTGAATGATTCAGTGGAGAACTGGGTGAGTGTTGTGGTCAGATGAGACCAAAATCGAGCTCTTTGGTATCAACTCAACTCGCCGTGTTTGGAGGAGGAGGAATGCTGCCTATGACCACAAGAACACCATCCCCACCGTCAAACATGGAGGTGGAAACATTATACTTTGGGGGTGTTTTTCTGCTAAGGGGACAGGACAACTTCACCGCATCAAAGGGACGATGGACGGGGCCATGTACCGTCAAATCTTGGGTGAGAACCTCCTTCCCTCAGCCAGGGCATTGAAAATGGGTCATGGATGAGTATTCCAGCATGACAATGACCCAAAACACACGGCCAAGGCAACAAAGGAGTGGCTCAAGAAGAAGCACATTAAGGTCCTGGAGTGGCCTAGCCAGTCTCCAGACCTTAATCCCATAGAAAATCTGTGGAGGGAGCTGAAGGTTCGAGTTGCCAAACGTCAGGCTCGAAACCTTAATGACTTGGAGAAAATCTGCAAAGAAGAGTGGGACAAAATCCCTCCTGAGATGTGTGCAAACCTGGTGGCCAACTACAAGAAACGTCTGACCTCTGTGATTGCCAACAAGGGTTTTGCCACCAAGTACTAATTCATGTTTTGCAGAGGGGTCAAATACTTATTTCCCTCATTAAAATGCAAATCAATTTATAAAATTTTTGACATGCGTTTTTCAGGATTTTTTTGTTGTTATTCTGTCTCTCACTGTTCAAATAAACCTACCATTAAAATTATAGACTGATCAGTTCTTTGTCAGTGGGCAAATGTACAAAATCAGCAGGGGATCAAATACTTTTTTCCCTCACTGTAACTGACAGAAGACACTGCATTTTGTAGCCTCCTGATCAAGAAGTGAGTAATATTTTATGTTGCTCCCGCCACTTTTTAGATAGTTTTGGCCGGAGACCCCCGGCAGCTGGGACCAATTGTGAAGTCCAAGCTTGCGCAGGCGTTCGGCCTGGGGGTGTCCCTGCTGGAGAGACTGATGGCTAACCCTCTGTACTCCAGAGTGAATGGAGGATACAACCCAGTGCTGGTGAGTGTACATACACACACTCCCTGTCAGTGCCATGATCACTAAAATCCTGCATAGTGAATCCACCAACTATGAATACAAATTCTGCATATTTTTCGACATAATGTTTTGTCTTGCATTGTAATATTATAGAATAATATATGCCATTTAGCAGACTGTTTTATAACTTAGTCGTATGTGCAAACATTTTATGCATGGATAGCCCCAGCAGAAATCAAGCCCACGACCCTTGGTGTTGCAAGCACCAAGCTCTACCTACTGAGCCACACAGGACTGCATGGTAAATGGATGCTATCACAGTTGATGCATTTTCCTGGTGTCCTTTCTTCTTCCTCTTCCAGGTGACCAAGCTGGTGTATAACTACCGTTCCCACGAGGCCATCCTGGCCCTGACCTCTAGACTGTTCTACAATGGGGAACTTTGTGTCAGGGCCCAGAGGTCCGTAGTGGACTCCCTCTGTCACTGGAGCCGTCTGCCAACCAAGGGATTCCCCCTAATCTTCCACGGAGTCAGGGTAAGGATTCCATCTCTTGCTCTCTATCTCTCCAATCAATCAGTCAAATGAATTTATAAAGAGGAAGCCGACAAAGCAGGTCCGGGACAAGGTAGCATGACCGGTGAACAGGTCAGGGTCCCATAGTCGCAGGCAGAACAGCAGAAACTGTCCAAAATGAACTTTCTCAGTAGTCTCATCTTTACATACTCGTGTCCTCTCCTCCTGTCCTCTTCCAGCCTCTTTCTCAAACAATCAGCGTTTCCTCTCCTTGCTTACCTCTGACATTGAGAACATTTTGAGAAATATGGGTTTTCCTCTTTGGTCGGCACAGAACTTAGACGTCAAACACCAATAATGCCAGTCATCATTCCCCCTCTCAGGGCACAGAGATGAGGGAGGGCAACAACCCGTCGTGGTTCAACCCTGGAGAGGCGGTACAGGTGATGCTGTACTGCTGCCAGCTGGCCAAGAAGCTCTACAATCCTGTAGCTGCTAGTGATATTGGCATCATCGCCCCCTACAGGAAACAGGTTAGTAGTGCACATGTTGGCCATCAACGGTTGGTCCTATCCTGTTTTGTAACTCTGCTAGTTTTGCTGTTAACCCCCCCGTAGAGTCTAAGCCTCTAGATGGTGGTATCTACTAAGCTAACATTTTAAAAGGCCACAAAAACATAAAAAGTGAATAATTCTGTCACAAGTAGTACAGTGCTCCCTTTTCCTTAACCCTGAACACCGGTCTGGACACCTGAACCATGAACCTACTCTCCTCTCCAGTCGGAGAAGATCCGTGTGCTGCTCCACAGGGTGGGCCTGTCTGACATCAAGGTGGGCTCTGTGGAGGAGTTCCAGGGACAGGAGTTTCTGGTTATCATCTTGTCCACGGTAACGTTCCAATCCTTCCTCTGTCCTACTCATTATTGAACTCTTTGACTCATTTCTCCCTTTACAGGATTTACTCTGTTCCATTCACTTTTCATTTCAGGGAATCAATTCTGAAATGGAAAAATTTTGAAATAATGTGTCACTTTTGTATGAGTTGAATATCACTTTGCTGAATTGAGGTTTTTAATTCACCCCTATCCTAAAACATCTAAATAAATTACCTCTTGTTCCAGGTGAGGGCGAATGAGTCGGTGCAGGGCAACGACCTGCAAAGCATACTGGGATTCCTGTCCAACCCTAAGCGCTTCAACGTGGCCATCACGCGGCCCAAAGCCCTGCTCATCATCGTGGGCAACCCGCACGTCCTCGTCAAGGACCCATGCTTCAACGCTTTCCTCCAGTACTGTTTTGAGAACGGGGCCTACCTGGGCTGTGACCCCCCAACCTGTCTCAGGGCTGCACACCGGTGTGTTTATTGTATTATGTACCACACACACACCATATCATTTGAGTAAAAGCAAGACGCTTTAATTTGTCAGTAATAACACACATTCATCTCTTACTTTCTACTCAGAGCGGCCAGTGAGAAAGAGGAGTGAGAGTTCACCGCCCCCAACCACTGCCCAGCTGTTCAACAGTCCAATACTACCAGTACTATTATGTTCAAATAGAAGTTTCTTCTTTCATTCTTTACATTACGATGACGTAGCTCTCTACATTTGTTCTTCTACACAGTCGGCTGCCTATGTCTTAATCGATAAATGGAGAATTGGTTTGTAAAGATGTCTTTCTTAAAAGAGCATGCACTCAATTTCTTAACTGCTGTATGAGCAAAGTTTAGTTGCAGTTATCATGCAGTCCACTGGGTGGTAGTAATAAATATGATGACACAAACCTTTGGTGTTGATTTTTCTTATTGGGTTATTGTACTTGTATTGATGATCAGTGTTGTAGTGATGATGTATTATACCTGTATGTGTGCATAAGACGCATACGGGTATAATATATAAGGACTGGTGCCAGTGACTACCTGTGAGTAACCTATCAACAATTAGAGAGGGACTGGGACAGCACCATGGCATCTGAGTCCCACATCAAAGAGCTCCTCATGTAGAAGGGGGGTTTGAGTGAGGCTCCTTGGCAGTGCAGCACACTCAAATAAAACGGATTGAGCCCCCCACCCCCCTTCTCTCCATCTCCCCCTACACTCGCTGGGCTCCACCAGGGCTGACTGTCACTGGAGATTCAGACTGTCAATTTCCACATCCAGTCTCCATGTGGACCTGTTGGTAGACAGACAGACGCTGCCCGTCTGCCACACAGAGGTGTTTAGACACAGTTACCTGCAGCCCAGTGTATCCCATTCCTCACATAGCTATAAAATGTCTGAGATGCTTAAAAATAGTAGTCACTCAATAGAAAGGTTATGGTTGTCTACATCCAATGGTTGGCATATCTGCTAGGGCCCTGGGTTTTGCGCAATCATGTGACATGCTTGGATTTTTAACCTTTTTATTTAAAGCTTTTTCATCAAACTGCCCCTTTTTCAAGTCTGGTAGTCCACCATCCTCAGACAATTGCTTTCATTTTTGGTGTAATTCTTATTTCTGGATAAGCCTTAAAAAACAGGATAAAATCTTGCTATGTCACATGATTGCGGTTCCCACGGGGGGCCAGTATAAAAAAAATATGTATTCACTAACTGTAAGTCGCTCTGGATAAGAGCGTCTGCTAAATGACTTAAATGTAAATTGCGCAAAACACAGGGCCCTAGCCTATGCTAAGTCAACTCTCTCCTTCACTGTCAGATTATGCTGTGTTGACTACTTGCAAGTATCCTAGTTAAGAGCATTGGGTCAGTAACCGAAAGGTTGCTGGTTCGACTCCCCGAGCCCACTAGGTAAAACATCTGTCTGTGCCCTTGAGCAAGGCACTTAACCCTAATTGCTCCTGTAAATCGCTCTGGATTAGAGCGTCTGCTAAATGACTAAAATGAAGAGCAAAGATGTACAAAAAGACATTTCAGTTCCTTACTCCCACAGTTTAGGAATGTTGTATGGTAGGGGCAACATGACTGACTACTCTCATGATAGCCAAGCTAACAGACCTACAATGATCTACAGCTCCAAATACTATTAATTAGTATCTAAATATAAACAATGGAGTCTTAAGCGAGAACTTGCTGACGTGGACGGGTTTAATTGTAGAGAAGTGGTTGGTAGTGTACAGAGCTCTCTCTGCTATTGCGGTACTGATTCAATGACCAGTTTGTCTGGACCCCTATTGTACACTGAAACCAGGTGTTAACACACTACAATTATGGTATAGGTAGATGCACCTAGAGTACGATGACCATAAACACAAAGACTAGTACGCTAGCTAGTCCGACTGGTTTTACAGTGAACGTACTGTATCAGTGTGGGTGTGCTGCTCCTGTGCATCTCCACTAGACTTTGATAGACGGGTGCCCAACAGAACAGTAGTCTCCATTATTAGCAGGCAGCTTAGGGCAGGCCACACATTACCTACACAAACACAGCGTCTACAGATGGGCAGGGTAGCTGTTAGGAAGAAAAACAGCTCCCTGCCGGGATAATGGCAGAGGGAGCTTGTTAAACGTGTGGCCCCATTGTTCTGACAAATTGGTCTGTGGCTCTAATTGCCCCTCAGTAGCGCTCCTCGTCTGAACCCAGGGCCCCGGCTCAGATCAGACTGGGGCAAGCAGTAATCCTTTAGAAGGGGGCTGCAGAGCTGGGGCCGGTGGAGCTCTGACTGGAGACTGAAGGCTGTGGGAGAGTAAGGGGCCAGACCGACTGGGTCTGTATTCATAAATCGTCTCAGAGTAAGAGTACTGCTCTAGGATCAGTTTTGCCTTTAACATCATAAGGAATAAGACTACATGGACAGGGGGGACCTGATCCTAGATCAGCACTCCTACCCTGAGACGCTTTATGAATACGGACCCTGGGGCTTAGCTTGGCTAGCCTGGCAGGTCTTCAGCCTCGGCCACTATTCCTTGTGTGTGGGACAGCAAGACCCAGCCTTATTACTGACTTTAAGCCTTCTGGGCACAAACCCATAGAAGATACACATCTGAACGTGGTTTTGGAGACAGACATAATCCACACAATTGCGTTGAGTTGCTTAACTGTACTTTCATTTCCTGCTGCCATTAGAAGCTAGAGTCCTGAGAAACGGAGGGAGGGAGAATGCCAGACCGTCATTAGAAGCGGAGCCTGGACCACCAGTCTGCATCGCAGTGTGAGATCTCTTCTAATTGCTGAGAGGGTAGGAGCATCCTGTGGCTGTCTGACGATAATAGGACAGTGTTCCTCCAAAACTGCATTGAAATACTTTTTCTGTTATAATCAATATAATCCATCTCTTGTCTCTTTCCCCAGGAATTTCTGGAATTTGTTGGTACTCTTAATGTGCAATATAAAGCAGAAAAAGTATAATTTGCATAATTACTTTTTGCACAAGCTTTAAAAGAAGGGAAGTTGGTTCTATGATTTGAAAGTGTAAATAATTGCCAACAGAAATCCAACTGGGCACAAACTGGTTGAAGTTGTTTCATCATAATTTGTCAACATATTGTGACGTGGAATCAAGGTGGAAAATACACTGTATTTGAAATAAAATCATAAACGTAAAAAAAAAAAATGGGGGAGGGGAGTGAATTTTAAACCACAGGATTGTCATCAGTAGCTAGGTTTCCATCCAATTTGTGAGAGATTTCCATGCGAATATTCTAAAATCTGCATAAATGAATTTGCGCATGTTCCTACCAGAGATGTTTCCATCAAACTGACGTATTGCGGATAAAGGTCTGTGCGTGATGACGTACTGCACATTAAAAATTACGTTTGCGGTTAATTTCCCATGTACGGAATGAAAAATACAAGTTAAATGGGTTTCCATCGCATTTTCAACTTTACTGATGGTTTTGTCACAAAAACTGTTGCGTAATATAGGAAATGTGCCCACTCTGCTCTTCGAACGTGCACTCTAGCCAACAACTCGCAGAGACAGTGGGGGTAGGCTACCTACATTATGAGATTATGGATAAGACCTATATTATTTTTATTTGATAAATGGCAGTCAAGCATCGATCATCATGTCACCAGAATAACACCCTCGATATTTATTGGAAAGGAGCATCAACCTCATCACGTGCACTTTCACCACTCTGTGAAGTTATCATCATTAATTTCATCTGCGAGTCGTAGTTGGAGGAGCACACAACATATTATCGCGTGACTCCCAAGTTTACTTCGATATGATAGTTATTATATCAATATTTGCGTATAAAGGTGTTTCCACCGCAATTTGTCGCATTATTAATTCTACCGGAACAACATGTAGAATGAACAAATTGTCTTTCGCATTTATAAAATTGTACCTATATATCCAGTTTCCATCAGCCCAGTCTTGACTTTTTTCATGTGTGAGGTAATTCATCTGCATGACATGGTTGGATGGAAACCTGGTTAGTGTAACCAATTTTCAACATAGACAAACCTTGTATAAAATATGTTGAATTTGTACCTTTGAAACAAAGACAGGTCTTTAACGTTATATCCATTATCAGAAAAACAAAACAATAGGCTGGGCAGCACCTTCTACTGGCAAGTGGCTCTATCTACAGTTGTGGTCATTTTGAGAATGACACAAATATTAATTTTCACAAAGTCTGCTGCCTCAGTTTTTATGATGGCAATTTGCATATACTCCAGAATGTTATGAAGAGTGATCAGATGAATTGCAATTAATTGCAAAGTCTCTCTTTGCCATGAAAATGAACTTAGAAAAAAAACATTTCCACTGCATTTCAGCCCTGCCACAAAAGGACCAGCTGACAACATGTCAGTGATTCTCTCGTTAACACAGGTGAGAGTGTTGACCAGGACAAGGCTGGAGATCACTCTGTCATGCTGATTGAGTTAGAATAACAGACTGGAAGCTTTAAAAGGAGGGTGGTGCTTGAAATCATTGTTCTTCCTCTGTTAACCATGGTTACCTGCAAGGAAACACGTGCCGTCATCATTGCTTTGCACAAAAAGGGCTTCACAGGCAAGGATATTGCTGCTAGTAAGATTGCACCTAAATCAACCATTTATCGGATCATCAAGAACTTCAAGGAGAGAGGTTCAATTGTTGTGAAGTAGGCTTCAGGGCGCCCAAGAAAGTCCAGCAAGCGCCAGGACCGTCTCCTAAAGTTGATTCAGGAAAAACATCAGGGACAGACTGATATTCTGCAAAAGGTACAGGGATTGGACTGCTGAGGACTGGGGTAAAGTCATTTTCTCTGATGAATCCCCTTTCCGATTGTTTGGGGCATCCGGAAAAAAAGCTTGTCCGGAGAAGACAAGGTGAGCGCTACCATCAGTCCTAAGCCAGACTAAGTCAGTGGCTTCAAATGTTGATATTTGGTTGCGTTGACAACCAAACACAATTCAGTATCACTTTTGCAATACAGTAAATAGCCTATTAACTTGTTAATAGAAGTTAACAAATGATCATTTATGTTGGATTTACATCTCCAACTAAACCAAAAATAAAAGTTAAAGAATAGGATTAAGCCAGTGGCTCAGATGAAACTATCCAAGCATTAGATATCCTTTAAATGTTGATATTTGGTTGCGTTGTCAATAATACTTTTGTTATACAATAAATAGCCTAAAGGTAAGGCTATCTTACAAACGAATGTAACAGTATTTATTCAACCTTAAAATGAGTAACACTTCCATGGCCACATTTAGAGGTTAGCCTACCGTAACTACAGAGCCTTCAGAAAGTATTCACACCCCTTTACATTTTCCAAATTGTTTTGTGTTACTGCCTGAATTTAAAATGGATTAAGTTTATATTTTGTGTCACTGATCTACACACAATGCCCCATAATGTCAAAGTGGAATTTTGTTTGTAGAACATTTTCTAAATTAATAAAGAATGAAAAGCTGAAATATCATAAGTCAATAAGTATTCAACCCCTTTGTTATGGCAAGCATAAATAAGTTCAGGAGTAAAAATGTGCTTAACAAATCACACAATAAGCTGCATGGACTCATTCTGTGTTCAATAATAGTGATATATATATTTGTTAAATAACTACACCATCTCTGTACCCCACACATACATACAGTGGGGGAAAAAAAGTATTTAGTCAGCCACCAATTGTGCAAGTTCTCCCACTTAAAAAGATGAGAGAGGCCTGTAATTTTCATCATAGGTACACGTCAACTATGACAGACAAATTGAGGAAAAAGAATCCAGAAAATCACATTGTAGGATTTTTTATGAATTTATTTGCAAATTATGGTGGAAAATAAGTATTTGGTCACCTACAAACAAGCAATATTTCTGGCTCTCACAGACCTGTAACTTCTTCTTTAAGAGGCTCCTCTGTCCTCCACTCGTTACCTGTATTAATGGCACCTGTTTGAACTTGTTATCAGTATAAAAGACACCTGTCCACAACCTCAAACAGTCACACTCCAAACTCCACTATGGCCAAGACCAAAGAGCTGTCAAAGGACACCAGAAACAAAATTGTAGACCTGCACCAGGCTGGGATGACTGAATCTGCAATAGGTAAGCAGCTTGGTTTGAAGAAATCAACTGTGGGAGCAATTATTAGGAAATGGAAGACACACAAGACCACTGATAATCTCCCTCGATAATCACGCAAGATCTCACCCCGTGGGGTCAAAATGATCACAAGAACGGTGAGCAAAAATCCCAGAACCACACGGGGGGACCTAGTGAATGACCTGCAGAGAGCTGGGACCAAAGTAACAAAGCCTACCATCAGTAACACACTACGCCGCCAGGGACTCAAATCCTGCAGTGCCAGACGTGTCCCCCTGCTTAAGCCAGTACATGTCCAGGCCCGTCTGAAGTTTGCTAGAGTGCATTTGGATGATCCAGAAGAGGATTGGGAGAATGTCATATGGTCAGATGAAACCAAAATATAACTTTTTGGTAAAAAGTCAACTCGTCGTGTTTGGAGGACAAAGAATGCTGAGTTGCATCCAAAGAACACCATACCTACTGTGAAGCATGGGGGTGGAAACATCATGCTTTGGGGCTGTTTTTCTGCAAAGGGACCAGGACGACTGATCCGTGTAAAGGAAAGAATGAATGGGGCCATGTATCGTGAGATTTTGAGTGAAAACCTCCTTCCTTCAGCAAGGGCATTGAAGATGAAACGTGGCTGGGTCTTTCAGCATGACAATGATCCCAAACACACCGCCCGGGCAACGAAGGAGTGGCTTCGTAAGAAACATTTCAAGGTCCTGGAGTGGCCTAGCCAGTCTCCAGATCTCAACCCCATAGAAGATCTTTGGAGGGAGTTGAAAGTCTGTGTTGCCCAGCGACAGCCCCAAAACATCACTGCTCTAGAGGAGATCTGCATGGAGGAATGGGCCAAAATACCAGCAACAGTGTGTGAAAACCTTGTGAAGACTTACAGAAAACGTTTGACCTGTGTCATTGCCAACAAAGGGTATATAACAAAGTATTGAGAAACTTTTGTTATTGACCAAATACTTATTTTCCACCATAATTTGCAAATGAATTCATAAAAAATCCTACAATGTGATTTTCTGGAATAGTTTTTCTCATTTTGTCTGTCATAGTTGACGTGTACCTATGATGAAAATTACAGGCCTCTCTCATCTTTTTAAGTGGGAGAACTTGCACAATTGGTGGCTGACTAAATACTTTTTTTCCCCACTGTACATCATTATCTGTAAAGGCCCTCAATCCAGTAGTGAATTTTAAGCACAGATTCAACCACAATGATCAGGGAGGTTTTTCAATGCCTCGCAAAGAAGAGCACCGAAATGTAAAAAAAAAAAAAAAAAAGCAGACCCTGAATATCCCTTTGAGCATAGTGAAGTTCTTAACTTTGGATGGTGTATCAATACACCCAGTCACTACAAAGATACAGGCGTCCTTCCTAACTCAGTTGCCGGAGAGGAAGGAAACTACTCAGAGATTTCACCATGAGGCCAATGGTGATTTTAAAACAGTTTAATGGTTGTGATATGAGAAAACTGAGGATGGATCAACAATATTGTATTTACTCCACAATACTAACCTAAATGACAAGAAGGAAGCCTGTACAGGATAAACATATTCCAAAACACGCATCATGTTTGCAACAAGGGACTTAGGTCATACTGCAAAAATGTGGCAAAGAAATGACGTTTTTGTCCTGAATACAAAGCATTATGTTTGGGGCAAATCCAACACAACACATCAATCACTGAGTACCACTCTTCATATTTTCAAGCATGGTGGTGGCTGCATCATGTTATGGGTATGCTTGTCATCAGCAAGGACTAGGGTGTTTTTTTTAGGATAAAAATAAACAGAATACAGTTAAGCACAGGCAATAACCTAAAACTCAAGGCCAAGTATACATTGGAGTTGCTTATCAAGACAACATTGAATGTTCCTAAGTGGCATAGTTACAGTTTTTACTTAAATCGGCTTGAAAATCTATGGCAAGACTAGAAAATGGCTGTCTAGCAATGATCAACAACCAACTTGACAGAGCTTGAAGAATTTTGTAAAGAATAATGGGCAAATATTGCAGAGACTTACCCAGAAAGACTCACAGCTGTAATCGCTACCAAAGGTGATTCTAACATGTATTGACTCAGGGGTGTGAATACTTATGTAAATGTGATATTTCTGTATTTCATTTTCAATAAAAATATAAATAATTTCACTTTGTCATTATGGGATATTGTGTGTAGATGGGTGAGATTTTAAAAAATAATTTAATCCATTTTGAATTCAGGTTGTAACACATCAAAATGTGGAATAAGTCAAGGGGTATCAATACTTTCTGAAGGCACTGTATAAATGAAAGCGTGCATGTTCAAGAAAACATGCAAAGGTTGCAGGTCTGTGGAGATCTTGACAATTGCTATAATAATCTGTGCAGAATCTTGGAACAGCATTGATCACTTACGCTATGTATTTTTTTGTAATCTCAACTGCAATCCAGGTCATTTGGTTGTGCTATTAGATGAAGCACATTGGTAATACATTAAATTATTGTATAAATACTAAATATCTGACATTGTATTCCCATTTGAACTTTGTTGTGCCTAAAAATGGTTGAAATTATCACCTTGAAATGACATGGTGTGACCAGTGGATTGCATGTTTTTATGCAACATAGAGACTCATAGCTTCGTATGACTGTTTGTGTCTGTCTATGTGGCAGTCAAGTATGATCAGATAGCTACAGTAGGTAGACAGCTGTAGCTTGCTGTTGTTTAGCATTTGAATTAGACTGTAATCTAGTGTCACATCAAAGCCACATGAGACAGCCGGAAACACTGTGCTGCTAATGGGAGTGTGATCAGGGCTGCGCTCTTCTTCTCAGGAAACCCTTTATATTAGTAAAGGAGGAGACATGAAAGAGGCTCAATATTAAGGAGACTGTCTGTCTGTCTACACAACCCTCTAAAAGGAAATACACTTTTACTCCTGTGTAGAATATGAACTGTAAACATTCTTCATCAAATAGTTTTTAGAATAATATACATTTGAGAGTCTGTCATTGCACTAGTGTATTTGCCTCTCAAAACAATAGCTCATAAGATAAAAGTCCAAAGTACATGAATACATAATGTCCCGCAAAGCAGCCTGTGTGAACTAAACAGTACAGTAGCCATGTCTAGTGTAAAAGTCATACATTTTCAGTGGTGAAATGGACTGGGTAGAGCCAAATCTAATAGTTTGCATTGCAATGCTTTGGCTGTGATTGCTCTCATAATGTCGTCGTCCCCCCCCCCAACCCCCTCCCTCCTTCCATTCACCTATTACCCCCCTCTCTGTCTGCATTCATCACAAAACAAGCCATTGTCTCCTCTCACATGCCGTCTCAGCCCCTTTGATCGGTAGTTGATAACAGTCTGATTGGGCTGGGCTGACTGCATATATAGAGGAGACCACTGGTACAGAGAGACATTACCTCTCCTACAGAAACAAGCAACAGCAGCACCCGTCTTCTCCTTTGGATTCTCAGTCAGGACTTTGTTTCTCTTCGCTATGGATCTCCTCACTGTCACCCTGGCTCTCCTGGTTCTCCTGACCCCAGCCTGGGGCTTCGACCTGGGCCAGTCGACCCGGTGCGTGCCCATCCCCCACCAGATGAGTGTGTGCCAGGACGTGGGCTACTCGGAGATGAGGCTGCCTAACTTCCTGGGCCACAGCAGCCTGGAGGGCGAAGTGGTTCCCCGCTCGGAGGACTGGAGACCCCTGCTGCAGACTGGCTGCCATCCCCAGGCCCAAGCCTTCCTCTGCTCCCTCATCGCCCCCGTCTGCCTCGACACGTACGTATATAGCTTCTGTTTGCCTTTTACCTATTCATGTCCTCTTCTACCTTTGTATGTCCTTGCTGTGCCCGTGTCTGTCTGTCTGTCTGTATGTCTGTCTGTATGTCTGTCTGTGTCTCTATCTCCATACTATGCCACTCTTTTCCTTCTCTGTCAATCTGGCTGTTCTTTCTCCCGTGTTTGAGTCTGTCTGCCTAGTTCCTTCCCACTTTCTCTTGCTAACTCCTTCTTAAGAGGAATCTATCCACTACTCACTTTTCACCCTATCCACACCAGTGTGTGTCTACAGTGTAACATTCCTGTAATTTCCAGCGAGTACCCACTGCGTTCTTAAACCTAACCCTGTGTCTCTCTTTCCATCTCCAGGTTTATCCAGCCATGCCATAGCCTGTGCGTGGCCGTCAGGGACAGCTGTGCCCCAGTACTGGCCTGTCAGAGCCACGTCTGGCCAGAGGCGCTGGACTGTGACCGTTTCCCTGCCCAAGAGGACATGTGCCTGACCCCCCACCCCAAACACAGCAACAGTCACCTCGCCAAAGCATTACCTAAGCCTGCATGCCAAGCCTGTCCTTCTGTGGAGGAGCACCCTTCACTGAAGACAGTTCTGGACGCTCTGTGCCAGGATGACTTTGGTAAGCATGTGCAATAATGAACTGCATGTCTGTGCATGTTTCTATTGATTAGTGTGTTACGCAAGTGTATTAGTGTTCATTTGTGTGTGTATTGGTGTGTATATTTGTGTGTGTTTGTACCATACATATGTGTGTAGTTCTGTCTAAGCTAGCATACTCACCCTCTCTCCTCTCTCTCTTCCCCCAGCTGTAACAGCCAAGCTGTCTCGCCGGCGCCTGCCCTCAGGGGAGCCAGAGTTTGAGGTGGAGGGCAGGGTAGAGTTTATCCGCCAGGGCCCCCTCCTGCCCTACGACACCCAGCACCTCCTCCAGCAGTGGCTGCTCATTAACCTGCGCTGTGCCAACGCCCTAGTCCGGCCCGGCCGCAGCCAGCTCTACCTGCTGACTGGGGCGGTGCAGCCAGATGGCACCCTGGCTCTCACCCGCCTCTTCCCCTGGCACAAGAAGGACCACAGCATCGCAGTGGCCACGCGGAAGTGGAAGCACCACAAGTGTTGAGTGCCTGGACGATGTATAGGAATAATAGAATGAAAAACATGAGCTCTGAAGAATCTGTGTCGCTTAGAACTGCGTCCTTACTCACACAAGCCAGGACTGGACTCACGATAATAATAGTTTTCTCAGAATGGAAAGATTTGGTATAAGGCCTAAGTATATGACGTTTTCTGATGTTACTGAATTGATGCAGGAGGGCAGAGGAGCATAGTTAGAGCTGGACTCTCTCACCGACACGACCCTCTGCTGCCCTCTACTGATCCTTCACAGTAGCTCAGCTCCCTCTGATAGCACACAGCAATAGAATGCACTCTAAAAACTGTACATAGGAATAGCTAAATGTAAATGATTTCTAAAGAGTATTATTTTCTATTTAGATAATGCCGTATTTATGTGTTTTGTATGTTGGCTTTGTCTGTTAAGTCAGTGAAAATTATATAATAAAATGCCAATATTTACCGACCATATTTCCACTGAATTAGTGTTGGTTATTCTACTGTCTATAATTCATACATTTTATAAAAATTGCCGAATACGGCTAAGGTGAGTGCAGAATGTTGTTTTTTTTACAAGTGCAGGATGTCCGTATAGTGCAAGATGTCCAATGGATGACGAAAATACTATAATACACTGTATTATTATGTACAACAAAACCCAAAAAGGAAATTGACTTACAAACAATATAATACAATCAATCAATCAAATGTATTTATAGAGCCCTTTTTACAACAGCAGTTGTCACAAAGTGCTCATACAGAAACCGAGACTAAAACCCCAGAGAGCAAGCAATGCAGATGTAGAAGCACGGTGGCTAGGAAAAACGCAGGAACAAGGCAGGAACCTAGGAAGAAACCTAGAGAGGAACCAGGCTCTGAGGGGTGGCCAGTCCTCTTCTGGCTGTGCCGTGTGGAGATTATAAGAGTACACGGCCATTAAGGCCAGATCGTTCTTCAAGATGTTCAAAAGTTCATAGAAGACCAGCAGGGTCAAATAATAATCACAGTGGTTGTAGAGGGTGCAAGAGGTCAGCACCTCGGGAGTTAATGTCATTTGGCTTTTCATAGCTGAGCATTTAGAGGTTGAGACAGCATGTGTGGGGGGGGGGGGGGGGTCCGGTGAACAGGTCAGCAGGCAGAACAGCAGAAACTGGGTCAGCAGCACGCCCAGGTGGACTAGGGACAGGGACAGTCAGGAGTCATCAGCTAGGTAGTCCCTGAGGAAATTGCCTATCTCTTCCCTAGACAATACCTTTCGGTCCAATAAGACGGGTGCATTTCCTTCAACCCCTGCATTGACTCGGTACCGGTACTCCTTGAATATAGCCTCGTTGTTATTTTATTGTGTTACTATTTCAAAATTTTTTCCTCTGTAGCTCAATTGGTAGAGCATGGCGCTTGTAACGCCAGGGTAGTGGGTTCGATCCCCGGGACCACTCATACGTAAAAAAATTTATGCACACATGACTGTAAGTCGCTTTGAATAAAAGCGTCTGCAAAATGGCATATTATATACAGTGGGGGGAAAAAGTATTTAGTCAGCCACCAATTGTGCAAGTTCTCCCACTTAAAAAGATGAGAGAGGCCTGTAATTTTCATCATAGGTACACGTCAACTATGACAGACAAATTGAGGAAATAAAATCCAGAAAATCACATGGTAGGATTTTTTATGAATTTATTTGCAAATTATGGTGGAAAATAAGTATTTGGTCACCTACAAACAAGCAAGATTTCTGTCTCTCACAGACCTGTAACTTCTTCTTTAAGAGGCTCCTCTGTCCTCCACTCGTTACCTGTATTAATGGCACCTGTTTGAACTTGTTATCAGTATAAAAGACACCTGTCCACAGCCTCAAACAGTCACACTCCAAACTCCACTATGGCCAAGACCAAAGAGCTGTCAAAGGACACCAGAAACAAAATTGTAGACCTGCACCAGGCTGGGAAGACTGAATCTGCAATAGGTAAGCAGCTTGGTTTGAAGAAATCAACTGTGGGAGCAATTATTAGGAAATGGAAGACATACAAGACCACTGATAATCTCCCTCGATCTGGGGCTCCACGCAAGATCTCACCCCGTGGGGTCAAAATGATCACAAGAACGGTGAGCAAAAATCCCAGAACCACACGGGGGGACCTAGTGAATGACCTGCAGAGAGCTGGGACCAAAGTAACAAAGCCTACCATCAGTAACACACTACGCCGCCAGGGACTCAAATCCTGCAGTGCCAGACATGTCCCCCTGCTTAAGCCAGTACATGTCCAGGCCCGTCTGAAGTTTGCTAGAGTGCATTTGGATGATCCAGAAGAGGATTGGGAGAATGTCATATGGTCAGATGAAACCAAAATAGAACTTTTTGGTAAAAAGTCAACTCGTCGTGTTTGGAGGACAAAGAATGCTGAGTTGCATCCAAAGAACACCATACCTACTGTGAAGCATGGGGGTGGAAACATCATGCTTTGGGGCTGTTTTTCTGCAAAGGGACCAGGACGACTGATCCGTGTAAAGGAAAGAATGAATGGGGCCATGTATCGTGAGATTTTGAGTGAAAACCTCCTTCCATCAGCAAGGGCATTGAAGATGAAACGTGGCTGGGTCTTTCAGCATGACAATGATCCCAAACACACCGCCCGGGCAACGAAGGAGTGGCTTCGTAAGAAGCATTTCAAGGTCCTGGAGTGGCCTAGCCAGTCTCCAGATCTCAACCCCATAGAAAATCTTTGGAGGGAGTTGAAAGTCCGTGTTGCCCAGCGACAGCCCCAAAACATCACTGCTCTAGAGGAGATCTGCATGGAGGAATGGGCCAAAATACCAGCAACAGTGTGTGAAAACCTTGTGAAGACTTACAGAAAACGTTTGACCTGTGTCATTGCCAACAAAGGGTATATAACAAAGTATTGAGAAACTTTTGTTATTGACCAAATACTTATTTTCCACCATAATTTGCAAATAAATTCATTAAAAGTCCTACAATGTGATTTTCTGGAGAGAAAAAAATCTCATTTTGTCTGTCATAGTTGACGTGTACCTATGATGAAAATTACAGGCCTCTCTCATCTTTTTAAGTGGGAGAACTTGCACAATTGGTGGCTGACTAAATACTTTTTTTCCCCACTGTATATTATATTATTACTTGTAATTTTTTTATACAGTGTATATATATATATATATATATATATATATACAGTCATGGCCAAAATTGTTGGCACCCCTGAAATTTTTCCAGAAAATGAAGTATTTCTCACAGAAAAGTATTGAAATTACACATGTTTTGCTATGCACATGTTTATTTCCTTTGTGTGTATTGGAATAACACAAAAAAAACAGGAAAAAAGCAAATTTGACATAATTTCACACAAAACTCAAAAAATGGGCCGGACAAAATGATTGGCACCCTTAACTTAATATTTAGTTGCACACCCTTTGGAAAAAATAACTGAAATCAGTCGCTTCCTATAACCATCAATAAGCTTCTTACACCTCTCACCCGGAATTTTGGACCACTCTTCTTTTGCAAACTGCTCCAGGTCTCTCATATTGGATGGGTGCCTTTTCCCAACAGCAATTTTAAGATCTCTCCACAGGTGTTCAATGGGATTAAGATCTGGACTCATTGCTGGCCACTTCAGAACTCTCCAGCGCTTTGTTGCCATCCATTTCTGGGTGCTTTTTGAAGTATGTTTGGGGTCATTGTCCTGCTGGAAGACCCATGATCTCGGACGCAAACCCAGCTTTCTGACACTGGGCCCTACATTGCGACCCAAAATCCTTTGGTAATCCTCAGATTTCATGATGCCTTGCACACAGTCAAGGCACCCAGTGCCAGAGGCAGCAAAACAACCCCAAAACATCTTTGAACCTCCACCATATTTGACTGTAGGTACTGTGTTCTTTTCTTTGAAGGCTTCATTACATTTTCGGTAAACAGTAGAACGATGTGCTTTACCAAAAAGCTCTATCTTGGTCTCATCTGTCCATAAGACGTTCTCCCAGAAGGAATTTGGCTTACTCATGTACATTTTGGCAAACTGTAGTCTTGCTTTTTTATGTCTCTGTGTCAGCAGTGGGGTCCTCCTGGGTCTCCTGCCATAGCGTTTCATTTCATTCAAATTTCGACGTATAGTTCGCGCTGACACTGATGCACCCTGAGCCTGCAGGACAGCTTGAATTTCTTTGGAACTTGTTTGGGGCTGCTTATCCACCATCCGGACTATCCTGCGTTGCAACCTTTCATCAATTTTTCTCTTCCGTCCACGTCCAGGGAGATTAGCTACAGTGCCATGGGTTGCAAACTTCTTGATCATGTTGCGCACTGTGGACAAAGGAACATCTAGATCTCTGGAGATGGACTTGTAACCTTGAGATTGTTGATATTTTTCCACAATTTTGGTTCTCAAGTCCTCAGACAGTTCTCTTTTCCTCTTTCTGTTCTCCATGCTTAGTGTGGCACACACAGAAACACAATGCAAAGACTGAGTCAACTTCTCTCCTTTTTATCTGCTTTCAGGTGTGATTTTTAGATTGCATTGCCCACACCTGTTACTTGCCCCAGGTGAGTTTAAAGGAGCATCACATGCTTGGAACAAACTTATTTATCCACAATTTTGAAAGGGTGCCAATAACTTTGTCCGGCCCATTTTTTTAGTTTTGTGTGAAATTATGTCAAATTTGCTTTTTTCCTGTTTTTTTTGTGTTATTCCAATACACACAAAGGAAATAAACATGTGCATAGCAAAACATGTGTAATTTCAATACTTTTCTGTGAGAAATACTTCATTTTCTGGAAAAATTTCAGGGGTGCCAACAATTTTGGCCATGACTGTATATATATATATATATATATATATATATATGTATATACACTACCAGTCAAAAGTTTGGACACACCTACTCATTCAAAGGTTTTACTTTATTTGTACTATTTTTTACATTGTAGAATGATAGTGAAGGCATCAAAACTATGAAATAACACATATGGAATGATGTAGTAACCACAAAAGTGTT